AGTGATATTTAATTAAACTTCTAGTACGCAAACATGATCGGCCCTACTTTCAAAAATATATGAATACAATGCATGCGTTGAAAGGATGTTATAAAAATTATGGTAAGACCCACAAGCACGCTTAATCTTTTATTTTGGTATTAGCTCTTTGCCATGTTAAGAAAATATTTCTTATGAAATGCAGTCATTATGAAAGATTAATTTAACACTGAGCTTGAAAGTATGATCGCAAAATTAATCTCAAATTAGTTTCCGCATACAATACATAATAATTCAAGGGAAATTAAAATAACATATACACAAATATTTTTAACAGATATGCTCCAAAGTCTATTTGCACATTAAAACAAACATATAAATAACCTTTATTTTTATTTCATTAATTTGTTAATAATAAACAGAATACTGTCCTTGTCCTTTTATACTGTATGTAGTTAACAACAGTGTAAGAAAACAAATTTAAATTTCTTAACAGCAATTAGAGTGTTCGAATTCTCATCTTACTTATTCAACAGATTAAAACAGGGAATATCAGGGAACGATTTTCGATCTTTTTAATCCATGACACAGAACGAAGAGCTAAAACTACAAAGTGATGCCAGCAGTTTATTAAAAATTAATCTCAGTTATTTTAAATAAAAAAGGGGGAGGGAGAGGTTTAAGAAGTTTAGCAAGAATAATTTAATTATTTCTAAAAACAATACCAATCTTGAATTTCAGAATGTCATTAAAAAAATTTTCGCCTCTGTTTGTGATTATAGTGTACTTAAATGAGAAATCGTTAGAAAAAACACAAAACTTTGAAACAAATTCCATGGCTTACGAAAAAAATTCTCCGTCAACTTCTTTTTCATACATCACCAGATTTCTTTTCTCAATTATAATCTGTTCTATTATGAAAAATTTAATAGTACATTATATATTTTTTTATTTACAATAAAATATACGAGGTTGTTAACTGGTATTTTTATGACACAGCAATCAGATATCAATCGGTTGGAAACAGCGTTTTCTGTATGCTGCGCTCATGAAACCACGCATTAGTTTCTGTGTAATTGCGCAGGTATTTTTACTCTTTGTGAACCACATCAGAATGCCGGATATTAATATACGAAACATTTATGATTATCCAAATAACATATTCCGCAGTTACATTTCTGCATCACTCAGTCATAAGAAAAATTAAACAGAATACTGTTGACAGCGATTTTTTTAAAGAATACACGCTATAAATAAGTCCTTGATTTTATATTATGATAACTGTTTTAAACTGTTCTACTGACCTGGTTTTTGTGTTTATTGATCTTTTTTAAAAATCTTAAAAATTCGCTAAAAAATGTTGCATAGTTTCAAAATTAAGTAATAATATACAATACAATTCCAGTACCCATATAAATACTGGTAGTAAATAGGACTACAACCCATTCAGAACCGGAAAATACGGATAACTGGATTGTTTTTGTTTCGTATATTCATTATTTGTTTGCATATATTCATTATAATTTCACCCGCCTCCCAGTTTATCATATTTCATTTCAACAAATTACAATAAAATAAATAACTAGTAACTAAATAATATATTTTTATTATTAAGAATAAGAAATCTTATAGGAGGGGGGGAGAGGCTTGTATTCCGACAGGCTAATTAATAGATGCTAACTGATCGCACTTTGCATACTGCAGGACAAAAATTCTTTGCATGGAAAGAGAATAAACATCGGTCACCACTAATTATAGTCTATTTTTTAGAAAATACTATTTATGGCTAAGCCCTATTCGCTCAGTAAACAAAGAGCATAAAATTTTTATATAATAATTGCTTTTTACTTGTGTTTATTAGCTGTATATTTGCCAAATGATATGTGGCAAGAATATTGAAAATAAATGAGAATGAATTACTTAAATAAGAATATTGATTAAATGAAAAGAACTAATTAAGTTGTTGAATTTAATGACATGAAATGCATGTCAGTCGTTTTCTTAAAAAAAAATTTGCTTTTGCTTTTATTTCTTAGGTTCTAAAAAGCGATCAAGTCTATGACGCACCTATTAATTTCAGTGCCACTAGAAGAAAAAAAAGGATTTAATAAAAAATATAATACAAAAACCAGGCCTATAAATACTTCTATAGCAATTACGTTTGATTTATTAACAGTTACAGTACATAACCAAACCAGTAATTTAGAAAAATTAGTTATTTCTGAATAATTAGATAATATCGAAAAGTTTCCGTTTCTAAGATTTTTAACGGTAAAGGCATGCCTTAGAACAGAAGAAATAACGGTATTTCTTTCCAGATTGACAGCAATCATTCAAAGTCCATTAAAATGTAAGACAAACCTAATTATTTACATTTACCATTCTATGACATATATTAAGGCCCAGATTTAATCTAAAAATTAAAAGTAATTCTTAGTATTAAATAAGGCATCTAAAAAATAAATAAATAAATAACCGGTTGGAAGATTCTTGGTAGAAATTTTCACTTAAATTAAAATTTTGTTATTGAAAAAATAGAAATCAACCATAATCAATTAAAAATTTCAATATGCAAAATTCGAGGGCCCTTTCATATATACATGCGCATTTTGCCGTATCCGTAACCGTTAATACAAAATTAGGCATAGCGTGTATAGTAATTTTATTACAGCTTTAAGAAACTAAACAGCAATTCGAATTTTAACTTGGATAATCACTCGCGGACCGCTAGCCATTAACTTACAGACCCCCAGGTCATCCAGAACGCAATTAAAAAAAAAAAAAAAAGCTGGCATTCAGCATCATTTAATTGGCGAGAAAGAGAGATTGTAGTCCTCTTGCTCCAAGGGTTGCCATTATAATCCTGAAGAAAGTAACCGATCATAAACTCATAAAATAGGATACTGTTTGCTTGAATGTCTTAATAAAAATATCTCATTTAAATAATGACAAAAGCAAATAAAATGCAACTTACGGCTTCTGTACATGACACAATTACTAGAAGAATTAACCATAGCAACAAAAACCTAAAAAGATATAAAAAAATATTAAAAAAGAAAAAAAGCTAAGATAAAAAATAAGCTAAGATTCAGTTTTCAATATTCTTAGAATGTTATTTTTAAAATATGAATTTTTTTTTATTCATTTGTTTTGATAAAGGATGAAAATCTAATTTTAATTGAATGAAAGTCTAATAATAAATCTAATAATCAGAAGCAAAAAAATTGATTAATTCACAAAAATTAAAAATAGAAAATAAGAAAAAGCAATAAATAACATAGATTTATGAAATTTAATTTAAAACTGGCACAAAAATTAAGTAAAAATATACTAATATATAATAAGCGCTTAACATTTTGGGAGCAAATTTGATGAAAAATGCAATAATAAATTCAATTATTATAAAGAAATTAAAACTATATACACAAATAAAATTTTGAGATGTGCTGTCAATTTTAAATCTGTATATTTGCTTCCTGAACAAATAAAGTAAAACTTGTTTATTTGTTACGTAAAAAACCGTTATTTGTTAAAATGTGATACGAAAATAAAACACTTTAGAAGGTTTAAAAATATATTTAAGGTATCAGCAATAAAAAAACAAATTTACCTCCATCTTTGTAGGGGAGAACTAATCACAGACATTTTAATTTTTCTAAGCAAATCCTTCTCACCGGCGCCGGAATGAATCCGGCCACACACCGTGATCATAACTACCTCCTGAGCACCATCAGTGAATTCGAATCATCAGTTTATTCACTTTTGTTTACCTTCTGACCGCCGCAGACTTTGTGTACGGCGGTCCCTTCCTTGTCTAGGGGTCGTTTCTGAAAAAAGTTGGGGTTCACAGCACTTAGGCGCGGTCTCCTTCCACCCTGAATGATCTGCTAATATCGAGCGACGGTGCAGGACACGCTCTTGGCTGTTCTTTCGCGTAGCACGTAAAACGTTACCACTCCGGTAGGCGGGAATTTTGTGCATCATGTGACTGACAGGAGATGGGCGGAGCTAAAGATACATTCTCCTGATGCTGTAGTTTCTTGACTCGTTATACCGAAGGAAATAATGCCATTTGAAGAAATTTCCGAGTCGTGCATGTATGAAGAAAATGTTAGTTTATATTAAAATATTTACATAGCATTTTTTATTTCTGTAAAGCCTTTTTACGATAATTTTCGTCCTAACCATTTTTTTAAAGCTGTTAGATAGATTGATAATTATTCAAGTCAGATTAGTAGTTAATCAAAACCACATAATTTTTGCGTATTAAGTAGTCAAATTTTTCATATTAAGTAGTCGTGATGTGCCATTTGCATAAGAAAAGAATGTAGTTATTAAGGGCTTGATTTTTATACTGCATATATAGGTTATCAAAAAGTATCTACATAATTTCCACCAGTATTGCCCCACACTCTAAAAATCAAATATAAGATAAATCTAAAACTTCCGCAATAATTCATTTCCTCACTTGTATATGGATTTATGACATGTAACATTAGAGCGAAAGATCTCAGATTTCATTGTGATTTCGAATTAATAAATTTAACTCATTGTTATCGATTACCGATAAAATTCACAACAAGAGAATGATTGCACTTGCAGTTCACAAATTTCTCTTATATATATATATATTTTAAGTACATGTCTTAATTATTAATGCTTCAAGCTTGTACCAGAAAATGTAATAGAATGTTTCAAGATGACTGGTTAAACATTCGAAATGCTTCCAATTATCTCTAATTATTAATATAATTAATGCTATTGGTACCCCGTAAAAGTAATGAAATTTTTTCCTTAGCAGTACATGAAATTCTAAAATTTGCTCTAGCTATAAAAGAAAAAGAGTATATATCAATGTTTAAGTTGCTTTGTAAAATCGGAATTTGTACCACCAGCGCTTTCGCGGTTGACCGAAATGTAAACAAAACTCTCCATGTGAGTAGCTCATAGCGCTATTGGTCAAAGGAGCTGTCAGTCTTCTTCTTCGAAGCCACACCCACAGCTTTCATTTTTGGAGACTCGGCGTTGCTGAAGGTTGATCGCGGTGTGGTTCCTAACGCTAGAAGATACAGGGCTCCGCATAACAGCCAGCACGAGAGCCTTGTTCATGAACAGTAATATACATAGTTGCTGTGAAAAAAATCTCACGCGTACTACAGTTGTATAAACATTTGAAAGTGTGTGTTAAAAAGCCCATCGGACCCCCGCAACGCCGTCTCCTATTTTGTTGCGTCTGCTTTGAAGAGGAATTGAATGAACATGAACTGGCCGATTATGTGAAAGTTCGTAGATGCTAGCCTGGTCGTGTTTCTGACCAGGAAAAAAGTACTATTCTTCATTTGTTATGGTAATATTACCGGCAAATAATGATGGAAGATTTATTTGGCTGCATCTGTGAACGTGTAATGTTACTGACTGTCGTCTGCTTTTTGCTCTCATTCCGTGATTTCGCCGAATCAGCTGTAAGTATAATTTCTGAATTTTAATGCAAGCAAGCGATAAATTTATTGTATTTTATGAATTTAATTTTTCTTTTGTTATACCATGGTAAGCGCTGGGTTATATTATGGACTAGAAACTTTATTCCTTTGGTAAAAGAATTTCTTTCCTCCACTTTCCTGGAAAGAGTAATCGATAAACAAAACGCTGAACATTCCACAGCGCTGGTTATCTTTTGCTGTTTGTTTGATGCTACAAATCTTTAACTTCTCGTAAAGTATATATTTGTTAATATGGCGAAGTATATGACGTATACAACGTTAACATTTTGTAAAATGTCAGTATGTATAGTAATAAAATATGCGTCCATCCAAATTAAACAGAAAATATATTTTGATTCTTAACTTTTCTAAAACTATTAATTTTTTAGTTTAATCAATATTTAGCCTTTTATTATTCATTGAACATGAGGCATACTGATTTAGTATTTTCGCGCATAAATGAAGCCTGCGTAATTGTCTGAAACGCTTTTCTAATAGAGATTTGATTCGGCCCCTTTAAGACGACCATCTGCGGTTGTGAGTAGTTTCTATATAGTTCTTTCTTTAAAGATGATCATCTTAAAGAGGTGATATTCAGTATCAGTCTTTATGCGTGTTCTCAGAAATAATAGTCGCTTTCTGAGATGGTCATTATGAGGGAGTTCACTCTATTTCCTGATTATTATCAAACCGCTCAAAAATATTAAGGCTACTTTTTGGCATTATTTTCGCCATAAAATAGTTCTTTTCTGAAAGACGGATATCTTTTTAGATAAATATGGCAGAAAATAATTTCAAATATATTAATATTATATTATAATTTTTTAACATATTATTAAAAGGAATTGTAAAATTTCCATTAAATCCTAAGAAATCGAAAATTTCTTATAATAAATACTTATTTATTAATTGTAAAAAAATAATTTAATTAAACACCATAAATTTATAAACAATTAAGAAATTTCAATTATGAAACATAAATTTTTTTATGATAAATAAAGGATAGAAGTTGTTGGAGTTTCCCACTCGAGTTTATTTGCTAATTTAAATTTAATTTTTAAGTTTCTGCTTCCCCTCCTCTTCTTGCTTTCAGTGCAACTTATGCTAAAGATGATAACAGTAGTAAATTTTCTCGACTCTAATTTTGAATCAGTTTACGTCCGTATGTTGCATTATCGTTTATTTTATGGATAATTATTTCTGACAGCATTATAACCCAGAGTTATTTTTCTATCTATTTAAATTAACATTTTTTCTTTTACTCTTAAAAAAAAAAAAACTGTTTATTGATATTTGTAGTTGTTTGTGTTAGCGAAATTTTAAAAGAAACCGAAGTACTAGTGTAGCTGTTCTACTAACTTCTAATTTTAAATTAATTTTTGTTTATAAAAATTATTAATAGTTATTTATAAATACTGTCACCGATTTACATCTCTTAAGGAAACTTTCAGGGCAACTAAAGATTAATTGCAGAATTATAATATATTGCTGTGTGATAATGCCATAAATACTTAGGTTTTTTTTATTCAATAGATGAATAATCATTGATCAACAAGCCATTAATTTGATTCTAGGCAACAAGAAGATTGTGTAAGTTGATCCTAAGAAAAATAATGATAAATATATTTATTGAATGGTTGGTATTATTCGAGTTTAAGAAAGATTAAAATAAACTAGGCGTGTAGTCTGCTATAACTGTTGTTAGGTGACATCTTTTGGTTTAGGTTTTTTAAATTTAGTTGATTACTGCAAAACACTCTACGGCTATCTATCTAAGGGGTTGGTGTATTTAATTATGGTAAAGCACACGAGGGCTATCTGCCTAAGGGGGAGGAATGCCTTCGTGGAGGACTTTCTAAGGGACTGGCTCGTATACACGTTACACATGGGGAAAACCACGAAAACGCCCATGCAGCCAGCCCGTTCGCGGGATTCGAACCTCGGACCGAACTACCAGTGTTCAGCGACTTTACCGCTCGGCCGCTGGTGGGCTATCTGTCTAAGGGGAGGAATGCCTTCGTGGAAGATTTTCGAAGGGAAACTGGTTCGCATACACTTACGCATGGAGAAAACCACGAAATCGCCCATGCAGCTACCACGTTCACCTGGAATCAAACCCAGGTAGGAACTACCAGTGTTCAGCAATTTTACCCTTCGGCCACTGGTAGGCTGACATCTTTTGAATTCTTCTCGTTTGAAGTTTTAGCTAAACATGTGAAATTTCTATATGGGCCTTAATAGGGGGCTGGTGCTAATGAAGGATTCATATCTGAGGTAATCAAATAACAGCAGAAAAAGGAAATAAGTCCTCACAGACGATTAAAATTATATCCTTGATTAAAATTCGTATGCACGTAATTGTAGAGAGCTATGTATATTCCTTTAATTTTGAGTTTTGATTTATAATAGGCTTTTTATACCTAGATAAATATTTGCAGAGACATTTGTTTCCAAGTTCCGAAATTCTAAAATTCGAAATTTTACATCTCGTAAAATTAAATTTCACATGACCTTAAATTTGACGTTTTCGCATCGAGTGAAAAGTGTTTAAATCATATTAATTTTGGTAATTTTTTCAAAGGAAACTTTGCATATTGCTAATCGTTTTATTTCCCCAAAAATATTTTAATAGGTTAAAGATCAATTTGCTAAGTAGACAATTTTTCATAGAAGGTCCGCATAAAAAGTCCATCTCAAAGTCACTGAGTAAAGGAGAGTGTGTGTGTGTGTGGGGGGGGTTGTATGTGTGTTCCTGTATCGTTTTGGAATCCTTTATTGAAGAAATTTAGTTTTTAGATATTAATCAAATGTATTCATGAACATAACTTCACGAAGAAGATATGGAACTAATTAATCAATATTAGGCTAGTAATTTCATCGCGGGGGGAGGGAGTGAGGAAAGCAAAACTCATGGGACAAGGCAGTTTCACAAGATTGCAGAAAAATTCGCGGAGTAAGACTACATTAATAACTTTTCGAAATCTTTCTATGCAACAATTTATAAAATCTATTAATAAAACTCTGGAATGATCATTTCGACACGAAACAGTAATTTAAATATGTAGCACATAATTAGCTATGCATTATGCACCCGCCAGTTGCCAGGTACCTGACTACTAAACACTGGTATTTCAGTAGGGGCACAAATCCGGCGATCAGGTTGGTTGCATGGTCTTTTCGTTAATTTTTTCTATGTGCAGTGCGGGTACGAGTCATTTTCGCATAGAAAGCCACCCACGAAGGCAGCCATCCTCTTAGGCAGATTGCTGTCGTGGGCTTTCTCATAATCAGATAAGCCAAACTATTCATTATAGCAACATCTTCGAAAATTCGCGGAAGTTCGGGACCAAATTAAATTGCTAAATATTTTCTTTTCTTTATTTCATTTTTTAAATAAATATAAAATTTAACACAGAGAAGTTCATTAACCGAGCACATGATTTAGCTTTGTATTGAAGGCTTTTGCATAATTATAAAGTAATCATAAAATGTTGTACAAATGAGTTTTTCAAAATTTCTTTAGTTTATAAACAATATAAATCTTAATTTAAGACTTTATTTTTAACATTTTTAATGTAAAAAGGCTTTTTTTTTTATTTCATTAGGCTTTTTTCTTTCTTTTTCTTTTTCTTTTTTTTTTTCCAGTAGGAGTAAAAATATGCAAAGCCTTCATCGGGACTCAAACCCTGGGTCTCTCGAATATGCGTTGAGTGTGCTTCCAATTACACCACGATTACATATAGAAAGGAGGAAGAAAATACCCTGTAACTCCTTCTTTGAAAGCGCGACTGGGAATTATGGGACCCAGTCGTCGAATCCTGGTGGTGACGAATTATCGTTCACAACTTTTTAGTTCAGACACGGCTTGTAGTGGTTACCAGGCTTTTCTTAGTCCAAAGAGGCATTTTTTCCAGGACTATTAATTTCGTTTTGGCATTTTGCGTTGATTCATTACAAGCATTGTTTCACTTTTCAAATTGTTGCCACCAAATATTATCGCCCTGTATGTATTACATTTAAAGATATTAAATAATAATGAATCTGCATAAATGTAGGTATATTTTTCGCATTGTGATAAAGCAACGGTACCTAAAGCCATCAAATTTTCAATATCATAAACCTCCTGCGAATTTGGGCATCTGGAAGCCCAAATTTGAAATTTGTTTTATTATCCATTTAATATTCTGTAAAACTGTAATGAATTTTTGATTTACTAACTCAAGAATTTCAAAGCAAGCAATGGCAACGTTGTAAAAAAAAAGGAAAAAAAAAAATTATGTCCAGCGCGCGAGACTGTGTATCGAAAATTTTGAAGATATGCTCATTTTAAAATTATTTTGCGACATTGCTCTTGAACTGAATTTTATGGTTTAAATGCAAAGAATATGATATTTAATAAATAAAGGTAACACACAAAATATTAAAAAAGCCTTTTTTTGTGATATTGAAACCTTTTACCCCCCCTTTTTTTTTTTTTTCTTTTTGAAGGAGGAGACGCGAAAATTGTACAATGACTCGAACCCTGGATCATCGCGGGCTCATTGAGTATGCTTCCAATAACACCACGAAGGCATGCGGAAAGAAAGGAGAAAATATCTTTAATTATTACATAAATTGATTTCATTTGCATTATTACTGTTAATAACACTAATGCAAAAAATAGTGCTTTTAGAGCAAATGAGCAAATGAATCAAGTCACTGATAGCAGTGAGATAGCATTACTGAGAGGCATCCTTGTCATTTAAACTTTAACATGATTTAACTGAACATTATTATCTAAGTCTCGGCTTTATTGTCTTCAAATAAAGTAATGAATAAACCAGCAATAACGCTTCCCCCCAGACGGGAAAATAGTTAGCGACTCTGGTTGCCATGGCTGAACCAGCGGCCGAGAGGTAATGTTGCTGAACACTGGTAGTTCGGTCCGAGGTTCGATTCTCTCGAACGGGCTGGCTGCATGGGTGTTTTCGTGGTTTTCCCAT